TTTTTTTTTTTTTCTTTTAAGTTTTTTGAGACAGGGTCTTACTATGTAGTTAAGACTGACCTGGAACTCACTATGTAGCCCAGGCTAGTCTCGAAATCACAGGGATCCTCCTGCCTCAGCCTCCCGAGTGTTGGGGTTACAGGCATGCGCCACTATGCCTGGCTACCTTTTTCTTTCTGACAGTCTTGATGTGTAGCCCACGCTAGCTTTAAACTTGTGGGCCTCCTGCCAACAGGTGTTCCTAATAATTTTTTTTTTTGCTACTAGCAAAGTTTTGACAGCGGACTTGCATTGCTAGCAAAACCACCTCTTAATTGCAGGGGGAGATCACTGCTAAAAGTCACCTTAAGAAAATGAACAATTAACAGAATGAAAATTTAGTATACCCATTTAGTTATGCCAGTATCTTCTCCATATAGGTTTCATATTATGATATATATATCATGATATATATTTTGGGGTTTTTTTTCCATGCTTCCTAGTTTATAATTTCCATAGCTCTTGATATTTTTCTAAGTAACTAGTATAATATGGGACATTTTTAGGCTTTTGAAAACAAAATCTGCCTTTCTGACCTTTTTACCTGCTTTTTTTCTCCAAGGCAGGCCATACATAGAAATGACAATTTCTCTTCTCCAAGTCAAGGCATAGGGACTAAAATTATAATCTTCCCATATCCTAGAGTTCACCTTTTCTGTCTCGGAGCTGAGCATAAATAAATTCTTTGGCTTACCTGATAGATCACAAGACTCCCATTTTAGAAGGGGTCCCACATCATACCCAGGGGAAAAGAATGTTGCACAGAGAAGCCAGAAAGAGTCTGAACAGGCAACCTCAGCATTAGATCGTTATCCTTTTTGTCCAGTCATATTTGTACAAGGTTGTCCAAGCTTCAAGTACATGCCATAAAGACCCAGCAGGTTGTGGAGATAGCTTCTGGATAGCTGAACACATGGTGACTCCTGGAGAATGGTGTGCCTAGAGAAGGTATGAAAGCTCTATACAGCTTCCCATATGATTTGCTCTATGGATCTCTTCATCTTATCCATTGTGATTATTTTTATAATAAATTGGGGAACAAAAGTGTTTCATTGAGTTCTGTGAAGCACTTAAACATATAAAACTTGATGGGTGTTAGGACTTGTATCTAGAAGTTCCCCCAAATCCTCAAGCACTCATAGGTGGGCTTTCAGAGCTGGCTGGATCTAGGGCGTGATGCTAGAATTAAGGGTGCCCACTCTGGGTATGGGTGGCACCGCTGAAGAGGAGGTAGCCTGGATGAAATATAAAGGAGGATTGCTTGCTGCTGTGCTGCCTCCTGACTGCTCTGTTTCTCCTCTGCAATGCCCGTCTGCCATGCCACCCTGCCTTGGAGCCATCTAACTATCGACCAAAACCTCTACAAACTGTGAGCCAAAACAAACCTTTCCTCCTTTAACTAAGAAAAGTAACTAAGAAAGGAATTCCAATTTATAGATGATTGGTCAAAAGCACAAGCATAGAAACCAAAGCAAAACAACAAAACAAAGTATAAAAAGCCTTCATCCTAAGGCTTTAAACTGGCATTTGATATCAAGGGAGGACAGTTAGGGGACTGAGTCCTCAACCTCTGGGACCTGGCACTATCTCCAGACAGTGTCAAAATGAATTAAATTAGGGTACATCCAGCTGGTGTCTGCTACAAAACTGATTGCTTGCCTGGCATATGAGGAGAACCCTCATAGATGTGGTGACCTGTGCTGTGAGAAAATAGTAGGAGAAATTGAGTCTGAGTCAGGTTTGTTTTCCACTATATACCCAAAACTGGGTTTTATGGAGGTGGTGTGTGGTGTTGGTTATTTTCAGTAATTATTTATGAAAATTTGGAAAATTAGTCTCTAGGAGAGTGATTTTATACTGAAGGGTCAAAGAGTAGCATTATAAATATAAATTTAAAAAAGCAATACTTGCTGGGTGTTTTGGCATAGGCCTATAATCCCAGTACTTTGAGTGGCTGAGGGAGGAGGGTTGCAAGTTCAGGCTCAGCCTAGTCAAATGTGAGACTCTGTCTCAAAATTAAAAATTGGAAAAAACAAAACAAAACTGCAGAGGTAGCTCAGTGCAAAGGCCTGATTCAATCCCAGTATCATCACACACACACACACACACACACACACACACACACACCCAATAAAGGCAGAGAGGGAGGAAGGAGAGAGGAAAGGAGGGAGGCATAGAAAGATCAATAGCTGCTACTTAATGCATTATTCTACATTCCCAGGCATTAGGTTTATAAAGCTTATTTTAATAGGTATGAGGAACAGATGTTTTTAACTTTAATCTCTGCTCCTCAAAAACATTCTTTTGTAGTGATATATACATACCTATGTTTATAGCAGTACAATTCATAACAGCTAAATCTTGAAGAGGGTCTATATGTCCATCAACAGATTAATAAAGAAAATGTGATATTTATACACAATGGAGTACTATTCTGCCACAGAGGAAGCTAAACTTGAGTCATTTGTAGAAAAATGGATGTACCTTGAGTCCATAATGTTAAGTGAAATAAACAAGACACAAAAGCTTAAAAGTATAAAAAAAGAGCAAACAAAAGATAGGTAACAGAAAGTAGGGAGATAGATCTTTCTCAAAGAGGAAGGGAATGAAGAGATGGAGGGTGGGGAGAAGAAGGGGAAGGAAAGGCGATGAAAAAAGGAATTGAGATGTATTATGTACACATAACTCCACACAAGGGATGTAAACATTATGTACTGCAAACATGTACTAATAAAGAAAATGATTTGAAAAAAAAACATAGAAAAACATAGGACAATAATTCATTGAGATTTATAATAAATTCCTGTGATCAATCACAAGACTCTTGAGAAAAAAATGAGACGAAGACTGAGAGAAAAATATTTGCAAAGAATATGACTGATAAAGGACTTGTATCCAGAATATATAGAGATGTATCAAAATTCAACAACAAAAAATTAATAACCCAAATTTTAAAACAGGCAGGACTTGAACATATATAACACCTAAGAAATTTTATGGAAGGCAAACAAACACAGGAAAAGATGTTCAGTATCATTAGTCATTACAGAAACACAAATCAAGGCCACAATGAGATGCCATTTCACACCTACTAGGATAACTCTAATAAAAAAATTTTATATGTTTTTCTTTATTACATTTTATAGCCCAATAACACTTTAAAGACTAGACAATCATGCATCTATAATTTCTCACTTTCTTATTTATCTCCATTAGTAAAATGGTCTACTACTGAATGATTTGTGAAAAATGTAGGTTCAAATAGCCTCATGATGTTTCACTGAACTTTCCCCTGACAAGATTTCTCTTGAAAGATAAGGTATTTGAAGATATCTTATGAATTGTTAAGTTATATAAATTTTACGTGCTTTTATCGTTGGGCTCAAACTGGGACCTAGATAACTAGGAGGCTTCACAAAGATAGTACTGGTAAACTTTACATTAATTTTCAATATATTTTCAGGAAATATAACAAATCATATGCATAGATAGCACTCCATAAGAACATACTCTTTAAACATCGCATCTCAGTAAATACGTTTAATGCATTTTTGTTCACATTTCAAAATATTTTAAATTCAGGGCCGGGGATTTAGCTCAGTGGTTCCGCTGCCTGCCTCGCAAGCACAAGGATCCGAGTTTGACCCCCGGTACTAAAAAAAAATTTTTTTTAAATTCATATGGGTGTTATAAAAGGAATATAAATAGATTAAAAAATATGAGAACCATTACTTCAAAACATAATGAACTTGTGAGTCAAACTAGCGTCAGAACATTTCAGTGTACTTTCATATCTACAGCAACTAATGCTTTGGTTCTGTCTGGTTCTGAGACTCTCATTTGGCACTAATGGTTATTTCTATAGGAAATACTTGGTGAATATTGTTGATGCTGTCTGCAAAAACAATGTATCTGGGTACATTAGAACTACTCTCAGCTTCCATTTCACAGCATCCTGGAATCACAGCAAATGACCTCTTACATACAAGGGTAAGCCATGACTTTTACTTGATCAGATAAATAATACCCAAGCAACTAATTTGCTCTTATAATTCTGATAAAATTTTAAGGAAATCATTTATGATACTATGTTCTTCACTTGAAATTACAGAACATCTTTCAGCTTAAATGTTAGATTTAGAATTCAGCTTATCTAAAATATTTAAGCCAAAATAACATTAATTTTTGTCCCTTATGAAATAAGTAAGGTATATAAAATTACTTTGATACAGGTTCT